GGTCTAATCTGATATTAATATTTTCCAGGGAGGTTTTGATTTCCTGTATTACAGTCTTCATCTCTAGAAGTTCTGTTTGATTCTTTTTTTATGGTGTCTATCTCTTTATGAAATTCCCCCTGTAGGTCGAATGATTCCCTCGTCCCCTGGAGTTGGTTGTCTATATTCTCTTGCATGTCGTTCAGTTTTCTCACTATGAATATTCTGAATTCTTTTTCTGACATTTCTGTGAATTCTTTTGTGCTGTCTGAGGTTGAGGTGGAATTGTTTTGTTCCCTTGAGGGAGTGATGTTTCCTTATTTTTTCATATTTCTTGAGCCTCTGTGCTGGTTTTTGGTCATCTGTTGAATTATACACTTCCTCCTTTTTTGAGTTCATTCTGTAGTGTCAGGGAGGAAGAAGACGTCTACTTCTCAGGTGTGTTCTTGGGAGAGGGCCTCGTCACCCAATCTGAGAAGGGTATGTATAGCCAGCTTTAGGTGTTGTTCCTTTCCCAATCTATCAGGAGCAGGTGCACCTGGCGCTGAGCCGCAGGAACTCAACTAAAGGAAGAAGTACAAGTCAACAGACTTAAATCTCAAAGTACATCTGTGCAGCAAAAGGCAGCAGCAAGGGAGCCTGGAGGTGGCATAGTGGTTAAGGCACTGGACTCCCTCGGGGCCCCCTGTTAGAGTTCCTGACCTGGTGACTTGAAAATCATACTGGGCACATGTTGTGTGTGCCTAAAATCCCAGAAGGAGAATGGAGGAGAAGGAATTGTATCGTGGCCATCTCCCCTAGGTGGTGATTTCTTACTTTCCCTCTTACTGTCTCTATCTCTACCCTCTCCCTCAAGCACTCGTGCCCTGTGGCAAAAACCTTTTTTAAAAAGTCAGCAAGCAGCAAGAAGTATGGGAATGTGATCCCTTTCTTTGCTTAGTCCCTTTCTTTGCTGTTGCTCATTCCTGCACCCTGTGGGATGAGGGTACGCAGGAGCTGATGGCAGCTGGGAGTCCAGGAGGAGGGTGCAGTGAGGGAGGGACAGTGCAGTGAGGAAGGTTGAGGATTCAAAACACACCTGCCTGGCAAAAGGCAGCAGCAAGAGCTCTGAGATGTGTGGTCCCTCTGTGGCTCAGACCCTTTCTTCTACTTTTGCTTGCCCCTTCACTTGCTAAGTGCTCTGTGCCTTTGGATCTGAAAACTTGAGGTTATCTTATCAATGGTTTTGTTGTTACCGATATTAACAGAAGCTTCAGGATGAGGTCATGTGAAAGAGTGGAGAGATTTATAAGCTGATGAATGCATTTTAATTTCGACTTCCATTCCTGGCTTAGCCGTTAGCTGGTTATATGCCTGGAGCTCCGCCCAATAATTTTTAGAGAAAGGAAAGTAATAACATTATAAGCGGGATTTTAAAGTGTTATTAACCTCTGTGGAAGGAGTGTAGGTTATCTAGGTGAGATCTGAAGTCTCTTCCAACTATAAAATTTTAATTTTAAAACACTCTACTATTCTAAGTAGAAATAATTTAGGAACCATAGGTGTTTGTTCCAGGATGTCAGAAAGCAAAAGGTTAGCATACCAGAACATGACTAAATGCAAGCTGAAATGTCAAACATATAAGACATCAACTGTAGATCTTTGGTTTGAACCTCATTTTAGTGACTGCCAAGCCCTGGGGGACTCTGGAACACAAGGGTGAGAGGAGCAGGAGTAAGTTCTGGAAGACCGAAAGACACTGGGAAGATGGAAACTGGCTTTCTCCCTGCTGATTTTCTCATAAATTTAGAATAGTAACTCCAGGATCCTGTAGGCCCCAGTTCTCCTACTTAAATGTATGTATGATCACTTTTAATGCAAAAATCATGTGATTTTTAGACACCACATCAGTTTGCTTTAATTCCTGAGATGATTTTTAACGAGGATAATTCACATGCTCTTGGTGGCCCCCACCCCCAAAGTTCAGTGACCTTTAAACTGAGAACCCGCCTGAACTGTCCTGAGTGCTGTATTTTCTTTGGAAACTACTTTAATATGTACCATGTTACATATTAAATGTGAGAAATAGTATTTAAAATTTTTTTCTTTACTCATGATAGAATACATGTGCATGCACATGAGAGCAAAACAGAGATGGAGTGAGAGAGAAAGAGATGAAATCCGGGCACCTTCTGCAGGGTCTGGTAACACCAGGATCCCCTTCACCCAGTTCTCCGGCCATCAGACCCTGGGCACTCACACATGTGCCTGGTGGGTCTCAGGCTGACCAGACCAGGATTGGAACTGTGGGATTAGCTTCTGTTGAGCAGCTCATTACCACTGGGTGGCGAAGCGGTAGTGAGAAACAGTCCGATTTGAGGATTGAGTAAACTGGACTTGACTGATCCATAAATTATCTCAGACTCACATGTTCTGTGACTCTTGGTCTGCTCCTCGGATAATGGTCTACTTGTGATCCTACTAAGAGATAACAGAGTTAAGCCATGGCAGTGATTCGAGTTTTATACTGTAATTCTCAGGATTCCCGCTGTTTAATTCATGTTTTGTTTGCTTGCTTTTGATAGATTGTTTCTTCCCTATTCTCCTTTACTCTTAGCATTTTTAGGAATAAGAAACACACTCATTCCAACCTTTCTTCTAAATGAGATGAATCTCTCAGGAGCACCTCATTAAATGTATTAAATACTGAAGCAGGCAGTTACCTGCTGAGCCATCACGCTCTGTCTGATTGCTTGCCACCACAGGTTGTGATGAAGCCACGTAATGAGTGTGTAGCAGGAATATTTCTTTAATGGAACTGCTCTTGGACGGCTGGGGATCCACTGGCTTCTGGAGGAAGTGTTTGGTTTCATAAATAGTTTAAATTGTTTATGTCATCTAGAAAATAGTTCCCTTTACATCTCAAAAATAGTTCCTCTACACATGGGGATTTTTAAATGCCTCAGTTTTTTTTTTTTAATTTAGCATTATTAATAATACTTGGAGCTATTTCACTTTCAAACAATTTTCCTAAAGTTTATGAAGACAGGGCAGGCCTAATCACATATTTCATTTCCCACTCACAGATGCACCCACATCAGGACCCTACCTCTCCCCATGTGCGTAACTGTTATTCCCGACCCAGTCTAAGTCTCTGTGCCAACGCGTTCCACCAGAAGGAAGGTTCTGTGCCCACGCTCCTCCCTCCTTGTCCTGGTCAGGAGAAGGCTGCTTGCTGTGGCAGAACCACCTTGGGGCTTTTTCCTAGCATGTGGACTCGCCGCCACCAAGAAGAGTGCTATTTTATGGGTGTATGACTGATAGCTTGGGGGCCAGGGGATGCTGAGTTACAAGCCCTGAGTCTGAGTCTCGGGCTGTGTGACCCAGAACAGTGGCGCCCCTCTGAGTTTCATCTATCTCCCTTGCAAATGATTTATTTCCTTCTGCATTCAGATAAGGTTTTTTTTTTTTTAAAGTGACTTTAGATGACAATTGTCAAAAAGAGGATTTGAGACTCACATGGTGCTTAAAAAGCAAAACAAGCAGAAAAAAAAAGTATGAAAATGTCACATATACTACCCCTTCCCTCTCTTCTACCTCCAAAGCAGATGAGATTGACTCACCTCCCTTTCTTAATTTTTTTTTAACTTCTGACTTTTTTCCTCCTTCAAGGATGTTCTTGAATACAAATGTGTATGTTGGGGTAAAGGGAACTGTGGGGGAAAAGTATTCAGTCAGCAAGGAACAGGAGTGCTAAATAGAATATTGAGAAAAGATGAATAAGAGGACAAATAAATAGAAGTGATAAATAACTTCTCTCTAATCCTACAATTGAAGTCAGAATCAGGAATGTAGTGACCCTGTCAGTACAGTTCCTTAACCTAACAGATGCTCAATAAGTACATATGGAACTTAGACTATCTCACGTTATGGGAGAAGAAATGGAATCCCACAGAGTTATGTATTGTGCAGGGCTATCCCCCCCACGTAGTAGCATTATTTGGCCAGAGCCCAGGACCCCTGAGTCCTCAACCAGTTCCTTTTCTATGTGAAGATACTATGACTGTTTCCTTTTTTGTATTTCCCCAACTGGCAGAGCACAGATATGGCATGTTGAGTTCAACTGTACTATTTGCAGGGTGATGACACTTGGTCTGTTAAGAAGTGGCAATCGAGGGACCCGCAGTTAGCGTAATGGCTATGTCGCTGGACTCCCATGTAGTCGATCGCAGTTCGCGTCCCAGACCCAGTGGTTTTAAAACTCACGCCGGGCACGTGTGCGTGCGTGCCCGAGATCCTTACAGGAGAATGGAGGAGAAGGGATTGCGGCGTGGCCATCCCCCCGGGGGGTGATTTCTCGCTTTCTGTCTCTCTCTGTCTGTCTGGCGAGCACACGCACCCTATAGCAAAAACCTCTTAAAAAAAAAAAAAAAAAGAAGTGGCAATCTAGTAGAACAAGTATGGATTTGGGAGTCAGTCCTAGATCTAAATTTCATCTTCGCTTATTAGACACATTTCTTAATCTTTTAAACTTAGGCATCCATACCTCAATAAATGGGGTTAGTAATAGCTACATCATAGTATTGTTATAACAATTAAATGAAACAAAGGTATAAGTACTTAGCTTGGTATGTGGCACAAAACAGAGGCTTCAGTAAATATTTGTGAGATGAAGAAATGGTAGCTAGTACTATATTTGATCATAGAGAGTATGCAGAGAGTCAACATTCCTTTTAGATGGGTTATAATCTTTACAGCTATGAATACTTACTGCCACAGTTAAAGTGCTGTTGGACTAATTTATTTTTTAAGGAATTATTTTATTTAACTTTATTTATTTATTAATTTTTTAATTTGACCAGAGAGGGAGAGAGAGAAAGTGAGAAAGCAAGCCACCAGGTTTGGGACTCAAACAGTGGTTAGCCCTGTGGGAGTCCGGCACCCTTAACCACCAAGCCACCTGCCAGCCCCTTGACTAATTTTTTTGTCTTAGAAAATGCCTGTTCAGATACCTCACAGCCTTTTGATTTTTTAAATTCCAGATTAATCCATGCAGGACAGATCTTAAATGGAATGGCAGGCCCAACCGTCATGAACGCAGCGCCATTCCTCTCCACGACATGGTTTTCTGCAGATGAACGGGCTACGGCCACAGCTATTGCATCAATGCTCAGTTATCTTGGTGGGGCATGCGCATTTTTAGTCGGCCCACTTGTCGTTCCAGCTCCCAATGGAACCTCACCTCTTCTTGCTGCAGAGAATAGCAGGGCTCATATTAAGGATCGTATAGAGACTGTATTATATGCAGGTAATTTAAACTTTTTTCTTCTTGTTGTACTTTGTCACCTTTATTCTACCTCTTGTATACCCGGTCAGTTCATATACAATACTTACGATAACTGACATATGCATATACACATATAATGCATATGTTATATAATATTGGAGATGCCTATTTAAAACTTACATCTTTTAGGAAATTGTTAATTTAAAATGTTATTGAGATACAGAAGGTTATTCCTTAATTTTATTCTTCTGACCCATTTACAATTAAGCATTCTATAATACATTGTCTAGTGCCTGCTCTAGATATCTTATCTATCGCTCTCTCTCTCGCTCTATGTATTTTTTTAAAGAGATTTTTGCTATAGGCACATGTGCTTGCCAGAAAGACAAAGTGAGAAATCACCCCAGGGAGTGTGGCCACAGTCCCCTCTCCTCTGTTCTCCTCTCAGGATTTTGGGCCTGCATGCACATGTGCCTGGCATGAGTTTTAAGCCACTGAGTCTGGGACTCGAACCATGGTCAACTATGTGATAGTCCAGTGATGTAGCCATTGTGCCATCTGCTGGTCCCAATTTTTTTTTTTTTTTAGAGAGAGATTTTTACTGTTGGTTGCATGTGCTTGCCAGAGAGACAGAAGACAAGAAATCATCCCCAAAGGGGAATGGCCACACCACAATCCCTTGTCCTCCATTCCCATCTCAGGATTTTAGGCACACACACATACATGCCCAGCATAAGTTTTAAGCTGCCAGGTCACATGGGAGTCCAGCAACATACCCATTATGCCATCTGCTGGTCCCTCTTTTCAGTATATTAAAGTAAATATGATGATTGACAAGAAACATTTATTAAGCATCTGTTGGTAGGTGTTAAGTCCATTTTGTCCCTTACAATTCCCCCATTTTTGATCATGTTCTCTAGCCTTGGAAACCCTGATCACTATAATTTTTTTCTCTTCATTTCCTATTCTCCAAATGTTTAATCTTTTGATTATAATCAGGGATATTGACATATTCAAAACATTCTCTTGAACCCTTCTTTTTATTTCTAGAGTCTAATCTATTCTTGCATTACAGTGTCACATGTATTTCTCTCTCTATATATATGTGTGTGTGTGTGTGTATAAATTCCCTCTCCCCATATGTCTGCTTATTATTTTATTCTACACTTAGAATACTTTGAAGTTTGGGGGCTAGCAGGTGATGTGGTTGTTAAGGCACTGGACTCCCTCATGGCCAACCACAGTTTGAATGCCAGACCTGATGTTTTTCTCTCTTTCTCTCTTTTTCTCCTTCTCTCCATCTCTCTCTGGTCAAATTGAATAATAATAATAGTAAATAAAATTAAAGAAATAATTATTTTTTAAAAAAAGAAAACATTAAAGTTTTAATTTTTTTCTTCCATGAGAAAAGGAGAGATAGAGAGACAGCCATACCTGACAGGTTCTTTATGCTGCAGTACACCCCCTAGTCTCAGTTGGCCTGGATTACAGGCACAAGCATATGTGTGCCTCACTTGCTTAGGGAGGACCCCAGATGAGAACTCTGGACCTTGTCAGTATGGCTTGAGCATTACCACTGTGTCACCACCTGACCCCAGAAAACTTTTTCTAAGCATACCAAATACTGAAGATTATACTAAGCACTGAGAATTGGTATTATCAGTGATGAGACCTTTAGAATACAAATAACCAGGGCCAGCAGATAGTGTAATGGTTACGTCACTGGACTCCCATGTAGTCACTGCAGTTCGAGTCCTGGACTCAGTGACTTAAAACTCATGCCAGGTCTATGTGCGTGCATGCCTAAGATCCTGAGAAGAGAGTAGAGGAGAAGAGATTGCAGTGTGGCCATCCCCCCGGGGGGTGATTTCTCATTTTTTTGTCTCTCTGTTTCTCTCTGTCTCTCCAGCAAGCACACGCACCTTACAGCAAAAATATTTCTCTAAGAAAAAATTAATACAAATATCCAGATATTGGGAGACCTAACTTATGTAGGTCTGGAGAGAAGTTGAGGGTCAGGGAAGTCTTCCTCAAGAATATAATAATTAAACAAAATTAAGAATTTCATAGGTGTTCAATGAGCGTTCAGTGGGTTTTAGTATTTTGGAGAGAATAGCAACTGCCAAGAGAGGAAAGGTCTGAGAGAGCTCACTGTGTCTGAGGAACTGTACAGAATTTGGTATGGCCAGAGTCGTGTCAGTGTGTGTGTTTGGGTATAGATAGGTACAGAAAGTTGCAGAAAATGAGGTTGGAAAGAAAGATATGATAAACTTTGTATTCATTTACTCACTTACTAGTTTAACACACATATTTTGAGATCCTATGTATCTGTCCCTGTGCTAAGCGCTAAGGTAGACATGGCTCTTGCTCTAACAGAATTTTGTCTGGAAGGATCAGACGGGCAAACTGTCACAAGGCAGAGTGGTGAGTACCGTTATAGAAGGCCTGCAGTTGCTCTGAGCGCAGAGGAGATGCCCCTAACACAGATTTTGGAGTAGAAGTCGAACTGCCTGGAGATGTATCATCTAAGTTAGAACCTGTCAGAGAGCCAAATATAGTGGGCAGTAGGCAGAATGTCAGGGAACTTGAAAAAGTTTGTGGAAAGTGGAATTGAAGTATAAGTTTACTTTGGTGCAAAGACTTATTGCTCATGTTTTTAATATTGGGTCATCAGAAAAGTCATGATATCTTTTTTTTTTCAGAGAGATTTTTTTGCTATAGAGTGCATGCACTCGCCAGAGAGACAGAGAGAAACAGGGAGACAGAAAGCAAGAAATCACCCCCCACCCCCAGAGAGGATGGCCACACCACATTCTTTTCTCCTCATTCTCCTCTTGGGACTTTGGGCACGCACACATACACACCCAGAGTGAGTTCCAAGCTGCAGGGTCCAGGACCAGAATCACAGTCGACTTACATGAGAGTCCAGTGATGTATCCATTGTGCCATCTGCTGGTATTTTTCTATGTATGACTTTTTGAAGAAACTAATAGTTCACAATTTCCATGAACTTTTTGAAGACCCTCTTTATACACTAGCAGAGAGAACCATAGAAGAGAAACCCATTAAAGGAACTACGTTTGGTACAGTCAAGCAGCTGAAAGCCCAGAGTGGCTTAGATCTGGCGAGAGTGCGATAGGTAAAGCCAGAGGAAAGCCAGACTACATAAGCCTTCTGAGCAGGCTATGGGAGTTGAGGTTTTTTTGTTTTGGGTTTTGTTTTAATTTGCTATAGGGCATGTGTACTCACTGAAGAAACAGAGGGAGAGAGAAAGTGAGAAAACACTCCCCAGGGGGGGATGATTACCTGCAGTCCCTTCTCCTCCCGTTACTCTTGGGATTTGGGGCACACACACACACACACACACACACACACACACAGCCAGTATTTTTTCAAGCCACTGGGTCCAGGACTCAGACTGCACAGTTAACCATGTAGGATCCAGTTGCCTTAATCACCATGCCACCTGGCTGGCCCCAAGGAGGCTGAAGTTCTACTTTCCAGGCAAAGGCCACACTCAGACAGTAATATGATGAGATTTACATTTCAAAATATGATTTAGAAGGGATAAAACTGAAAGCGCAGGGTTGGTGGTAAAATTCTAAGTCATTGTGATGGTTTTATAATTCTGTGAATGTACTAAAAATGATTGGATGGTGCACTGTAGATGTGTGTTATATCTCAGTAAAGTAATTTATAAAAATGCTGATAGAAAGATGGTTGAAAAATATGAACAAGGCAATCACAGAAGAAATACGGATGACCAACAAGGTAGGGAAGCTGATCTTCCAGTGTTACTAATAATTACAAGAACTAGAACTTAAAATAACTCATTAATTTAATGTTTCTCTTCAGATTGACAAAAATAAAGAAACTGGAAATACCAAAAAGAAGGGGATGGGGGACCTGTTAACAATCATGCTTTTAAGAATTAGGAATCTACTCATTTCTAAATAAGTTATCTGTGGCTAATTATTAAAGGAACATTGTCTCTTTTGCTAAGAATATAGCCCTAGAATTATCCAACTGAAAAGACCTCTAGAAGTCACCAAATCCAATCTCTTTATGGACCCAAATTTTAAGTTAATTAATGGCATAGGTAGGTCTGTATTCCCACTTTCCTGGCTTTTCTACTAGCACTGTGCTTTACTGCTAAATTGGGTACAGTTCACACAAGCTGGGATTTCCAAGTGCCAGGACTATGGAGAGAAGCATGGGGATGCCCAGGAACCTTCCCTTGTGTAATGAAACCAAACTAAGATTATTAGGATGTTCATTTTACTTTCAGTAGTTTAATATTCTACATTAGGTAGTCTGCTATTGAAATTCTTCTCTCTGGCTCTTAGTCTCTATTTTTTGGATGCTTTCTTGTCTTGTTCAGATTTTCTGTACAGCCTGAAGATTGCATCTGTCCTACTCTATGCATCAAACTATCCTATCATTGATCACACGAACCTTCTATCCTGTTCTTACCGATTTGCTCTGTCATGTTCTGAGTGTCATACTCATTAAACAGTCATCCTAGACTTCTTCTCCAGTAAGACATAGTTGAATTTGGATTTTTTTCCCTATAGAGTAATGTTTGTTTACGCCCTCAATCTTTTTGTCTGTGTGGTATATAGGAGTGCTGTCATATTTCTTTGTTTATAGTCTGACTTCTTACCTAAGACCTGCTTAAACTAGTATCTTCATATTTCCATCTTTCTTAATAGACTGACCTGTCTTGACTGAGTACTATATTTTGCTTCCCTTTATATGCTTGGAGTTTAGCTGATGCTTAATACATATTTTTTAGACAAATAAATACTTGTGTTCATTTTATACTGCTTGGTTCACATTTTCTGTATTTGTTTTCCTTTCAGAATTTGGATTTGTCTGCTTAATATTTTCTGCAACACTGGCATATTTCCCACCTCGGCCTCCTCTCCCCCCAAGCGTTGCTGCAGCCAGCCAGCGACTGAGTTACAGGCGGAGCTTCTGTAGATTATTAAGGTACATATACCAGTTTGTAGTCACTAGGTGATTTTGACTAGTGTCTTCAAGATATTATTGAAGATAATTTAAGATAGTAATTTTTCAGCAACTTGTTAATGAAGTTGTAAATAATTAATAAAGTATTTTAGATTTCTTCTCAGAAATCTTTGGAAAAATCACCAAAAGCAAAAACTGATAGTATTTGCTCTGTGTGCATACCACCTATCTTATCAAATATTTTATTTTCCCTAGATGATTTTCTTTTAAAAAGAAACTTATGTCACACAGTAGTATATGTAAAATCATGGGTCTGTTTGTTTTTAATTGTCATATACTCACCAGAGAGACAAAGAAACACCCCCTTATGGGGTGTGGTCATACCACATACTTTTTTCCTCCATTTCTCCATCCTTTCAAGATTTCGAGTATATATATATATACATATATATACACACGCTTTCTCTTTTCTTTCTCTTTGCCTCTCTTTCTCTGTCTCACACACATGCACACAAACACACACACACACACACACCCCAGCATGTTTTTCAAGCCTCTGGAGTGTGGGACTCAAACCACAGTTAGCCATGTGGGATCCAGCTCCCTGTGCATAGGCTTAACTGCTGTGACATAGGGCCAGCTCTAATGTTTCCTTTCAAGAAGTTTTTAAATCAAAACATATATAAAATCATGGTATTGGCTTTTTTGATTCAATGTAATTCTCTGGAGAGTTATTCGGGTTGTTGAATGTATCGGTAGTTCATTCTTTTTTATTGCTGCATAGTATTCCATGGTGTGGATGTACAGTTTAACCATTCACATGTCGATTGATACTGGGTTATTTCTAGTTTGGAGCTATCACAAATAAAGCTGCTATGAACATTTGTATGTAGGTCTCTGTGTGAACATGAGTTTTCATTTCTCTAGAATAAATGGCTGGGAGTGCAATTGCTGGATCATATGTTAATAGCGCATTTTGTTTTTGTTAATAATTGCCAAATGATTTCTCAGAGTGAATGTACCATTTCCATTACGATAAGCAATGTATAAATTGTCCAGTTTTTGTGCATTCTTGCCAAATGTTAGAATTAAAGTATGCATACTCTTTGACATGGCCATTGCTTTTCTAGAAATCAGTCCTACAGGTATACTAGCACATATGTGAAGTGACTATTTGTAAGAGCAAAAGGATTATATAAATGTATCATACATCAGCATACCATGCAGTTATAAGAAAGAGTGAGGAAGCTCTTTACATATTCATTATGGTAACAGCCCTAAGGCCTATTAAGTTAAACAAAGCAAGATTCATCAAAAGGTTGTAATATATGGTCATTTTTGTAAAAAGATTGGGAAGAAAAAAATGTGTTTATTTGTATTGGCTTATATATACTTATGAAATATTTTGGGGAAGTTACCTGAGAAACTGGTAACATTTATAATTGTAGAAAGAGGAAAATAGAAGTAAGAGAGACTTTTCCCATATTTTTATAACTTGATTTTTTTAAGTTTATTTATTTCTTTCTTCACAAGAGAGAGTCACCCAAACAGGTCTTCACACTGCAGTCTTACCCTGTTTCAGCCAGCCTTGGATCGGGGGGGATGATTTGATTACCTGCTGTCATAGCCAGATATGTGCCTGGTCTCTAAACATGAACCCCAAACCTTGCCATGTGGGTCTGTCTTGCAGAGCATCGTCTTCTACTGTGCTACCTAGCAGCCCCAACTTTTTATTTTCAAGCCATTTAAAGTGTTACTGCCTATTGGAGGGTTTTATTAGTTAAAAACAAAAATGGAGTTTCTGAAAGTAAAAACACTAGCAAATTATATATTTTCTTTTAATCTTTGCATTTTCCCCTCTACCTTGTTTGTAGAAGGAATAGCCATTTATCCTTTTACATGAGAGACATTTCTTTAAACTGAGCTACCTTCTTATTTGATGAGATAGTGTTGGAATTAATCTATAACATAAACATTGACAATTTTAGGCAATATTCACAAAGAGATTATTCTTATAAAAATTAAAAATTGAGGGTTGATCTTGTAGTGTAGTGGTTAAGAACTGTGCAGGGGGAGCCAGATCCCAAATGGCCAATCATGGTTTGTATCTCTCCCAGTGGCTTGAAAAACACACTGGGCACACACACACACAAAGGGAAAAAAAGGATTGTGGAGTCATCAGGCCCCATTGGGGGGTTGCTTTCTCCGAACTTCTCATGTATACTCATGTCCTCTGTAGGGAAGAAAATTAAAGAATCTCGAATTTATTAACACTGACAGATATTTTCTATTTCTGATTCTGGTATACCAGTTTCCAAGCGACTTATGTTTTTCCTGAGTAAGAGGTTAAATTCTGGGTTTCTAGTTTGTGATATGCTCTTCTATTTCTCTTTTATAGCAATTTGAGATTTTTGATGATTGCTTTAGCATATGCCATTCCACTTGGTGTATTTTCTGGCTGGTCTGGAGTTCTGGACTTAATTTTAACGCCAGTGCATGTCAGCCAGGTAAGTATGTTATTTGTTTATATGCTGTAAGTGTTTTTTGTTTGTGTGTGTGTGTGTGTGTGTGTGTGTGTGTGTGTGTGTGTGTTTGGAATAAATACTGATTACATATTCTTGGTTTTAGCTTCAAGAACTAGGTAAAATATTGCCCTATACAACTGCTGCAAAAGCGAAATTCCTATGGATCTGTTAAAAACAAGTTGATTTTATTTCTTGATTTTGATCATAGTCATGAATTTCACATTTCTTTGGGTATCATTAAAGATGCTGATTAATAGGAAAAAAGGAAAATCTTAGTTTTGTTGACTCCATTCTTCATCCTTGCTTCATACTTTACAAAGATTAAGATCTCATCATTAAATATATAGCTCTCCCTATATCTAATATCTTACTTTTTCCCTGGTCTCAGAATAACAGTATCTCATTTCTTTAAAAAATGACAGTATCTCATGTCTTTATTTCATCCACATGCATGATGCCATCTATTCCTTCTCTTTGCTTCCAGATAGCATAGTAGAAAGGGGTAGAAAGAGATTTGGAGAGGCAAATGGGGAAAATTTCCCATACTGGTTGTCCAAGTTCATTTTATGTTGCCATAATAGAATATCTAAACTGGGTAATTATAAAGAAGAGGTTTATTTAGCTCATGGTTCTGCAGGATTGGAGGTTCAAGATTGGGTAGCTCATTTGTAGCTTTTGATAAGGGCCTCATACCATGTCAAAACAGTGGAGAAGAAGAGAAGCAGGAGAGTCCAAAAGGACCAAAACAATGCGAGGCAAGTTCATTTTATAACAACCCACTCTTGTAGTGCTAGTTTAGTTCCACAAGAGCAATTAGCATTTTATGAATCTATAGACCAGTTTGAGAATTAACAAATTTATAACTGACTCTTCTGAATCATACTCGTATTTATCTTCATTTATATAGGTGCCATACTTTAAAATTTTCTGTAAAGACACCTTCTATATTCCAGATATTTCATATTTTTTGAAGCCTTTGTAATTGATAACTTCGTAAAATCTTCTTTTTATTTCTTCTTAATTTTGCCAGAGAGCTCATGCGATTACTAGAGAGAGGGGGGGAGAGAGGAAGAAAGTGAAAAAAGACCCCCTCATTGGGAGTAGTCATGCTGCAATCTCCTCTCTTTCACTTTTCCCTCTTTTTGGGATTTTGGGCATGCATGCACACACACACCCAGTGTGCTTCTCAAGCTGCCAGGTTCAGAACTTGAACAATTTTATTTTCTAACTATTGGCTGCCATATAAAAATGTAGCTGATCTTGGCAGGTAATCCGAAATGCTGTTGACCTTGTTTCCCACAGTCTTGTTAAACTCACTTGCATATTATATTAACTTACCTTTAAGTATTTTAACCTCTGCTTAAATAGTGTTATCAGTTGTGACTAATGACAACTCAGTGGAGAAAAAAATATTTAATAAAATTCAGCTTTGAGATACTCAAACTATTAATGTTACAAATTATGTTTATTGATTGTTAAATGTTAAACCACCTTGCATTCCTTGGACTAAATTTAGTTTGTCAATTTTCCTTTTAATATCACCAGATTCAGTTGCCTCTTTTTTTTTTTTTTTGCAGTTAAATTTATGAATGATATTGAGTTTTAGTATCATGGTTTCACTGACCTCACAAAAAATTTTAGGAAGTATTCCCTCTTTTTCTATTATTGGAAGATTTTGTGTAAGGTTAATGGTTTTGATCTTTTCTTTTTTGCTAAATGTGTGAATTTAGGGAATTCACTGGTGACGCCATTTAATTTTGTGAAAAGATTTTAAATATAGAAGTAATTTATTCAGATTTTTAATTTATTCTTATGTCAATTTTGGTAAATTATAACTTTCTGGAATTCATTCATTTCATCTCAGCTTTCAAGATTATTGGTAAGAAGTTCTTCCTAGTATGTATCATCTTATGATTTTATTAGGTCTCTAGGATCAGTCATCCAGATCTTGGATATCTGTATCTTCTCATTTTTTTCCTTGAACAATTTTACTGGTGACTTTTTATTGAATTTCTCCATACATTTTTACTAAATAGTAAAACTTATTACTTTTTTCCTTTTTCATTATTCAAAGTATTTTCTAGTTTCAATAGTGATTATTTGAACTTGGGTTGTTTACAAGGACTTTTTTTTTTAAGTATATTTATTTCTTCCATTAACAAGAGAGAAAAGAGATAGAGACAGAGACAGAGAGAGAAAGAGAGAGAGAGAGAAAGCATACCCCCAACAGGGTTCCTTCCACTTTTTTATGTAACTTTAAATATCTCTTTTAAGATTTTCATAGTTTTCTTTATAAAGGTCTTTGACTTCCTTAGTTAGGTTTATTCCTAGGTATCTTATACATCTTATGGCTATGGTGAAAGGGATTTCTTTCTTCAGCTCTACTTCATTCAAGCTGTTGTTCATATATAGAAATGCTATAGATTTTTGGATCTTGATTTTGTATCCTGCCACTTTACTGTATTCACTTCTTACTTCAAGAAGGTTTTTCATGGAGACCTTTGGGTCTTCTAAGTATACCATCATGTCATCTGCGAATAAAGATATTTTCAATTCTTCTTTGCCTATTCGAATGCCTTTTATATTGTTCTCTCCCCTGATTGCATTAGCTAAGACTTCCAGTACTATATTAAAGAGCAGTGGAGAAAGTGAACGGCCTTGCCTAGTACCCGTTTTTAGAGGAAAAGCTTTTAGCTTTTCCCCATTCAGTATAATGTTAGCTGTAGGTTTTTTTATAGTTGGCTTTTATTGTGTTGAGAAATGACCCTTCTATACCAATCTTACTGAGGGTCGTAATCATACAAGGATGTTGTATTTTATCAAATGCTTTCTCTGCATCAACTGAAATGATCATCTGGTTTTTTATCTTTCTTTCTGTTAATGTGGTGTATTACATTT